AGGAGGATTCTTGGCCCAGCTTTGGAGAAAGGAGGAGCCTAGCCCAGCCTTGGAGAAACGAGGATTCTTAGCCCAGCCTTGGAGAAAGGAGGATTCTTAGCCCAGCCTTGGAGAAAGGAGGATGTTAGCCCAGCCTTGGAGAAAGGAGGATGTTAGCCCAGCCTTGGAGAAAGGAGGATACTAGCCCAGCCTTCGACCCGAGCGGCCACGCAGGCAGCACGAGAAGCTGAAGGGGAGCTCGCTGACACCTCTCGCAGGATGACTGACCTGTGCAGGAGCACCTTGTTGAAATTCAGCTGCCTGGGGCTGACCCCCAGCTCTACCTGCACCCCTTGGCAGCACAGCCGGAAAACCACCGGCTCAGGGTTCTCCTCAATGCAGCACACCAGGTTGTCTTCCACGAGGCCGGCCGAGGTGGGGTACGCCCAAAGGCTCAGCTCCTAGCTCCGTCCCCGCAAAAAAAAGAGAAGAAAAAGCCGTTGTTGAGCAGGAGGAACAGCTCGTGGGCACTTCTGGTGCTCGCCCTACCTGCCCCACGTCCTACCTGCCTCTCGTAGGGTTTCAGCCTCATGCTGGGAGGCTCCAAAAGGAACGTGTCGCCTTTGCGATCGTGCTCGAAGAAGAAACGCACTGCCACTTCCAAGGGGGTGACGTTGAGGATGGTGATCTTCTCGCAGTTGCTGGGATACTGCAGTGCCTTGTACCTGTCCACAAGAGGGGGAAAAACGCTGCAGAGGAGACCTTTGCCTCGACCACACGTGGAAGAAAGCGCCGTGCCCCAGCAGCAGGAGGAAGATCAGGGTCTAACAAACGGGCTAAGAAAAGGGATCGCTGTCAGAGCCACGTTGCACGGTCCGTGTGTTCATCCTTGGTGCCTCCACCCCAGGAGTGTGATGATGCACAGGCCACTTAAAGAGCTTTTATAAAAAACAGAAATTCAAAGGCACTGGAAAAATAAAAGTATGCCAGGCACGGGGGTTCTTCCCCTTTCTTTGTTGGGTTTCCTTCCCTGCAGGGTATAAAGAAATGCTTTTTGAAAAGAGGTTTTAAAAATAGTTGAGCTTATTTCTTTCAAAAAAAAAGATCTGAGACTTGCCTTGGATTAGCTGAAAGTCTAGAGGGAAGGAAATGAAAAGGATTCGTTCCCTATAGGAATGCTATATTTAACAGATGGCCCTTCTCTCAAGTGTGAAGCAGAATTTGGAGTTAAAGGGTTAAAAAAGCAAACAGAAACCCCAGACCATTCATAAGCCTGGCAAAAGAGCCTCTTTCAGTTTTTAAACTGTTTTGATTTAATTGCCTTGGGTTGTCAAAATACCACTAGCTCTCCCACAAAAACAAGAACTTCATTTCTAATATTAAAAAATAAAAAGAGCGTGATGTTAAAAATAGAAATATGCCAGCAGCTACAATGACCTTTTTTTTAGGCAGGCTTTATCCAGCAGTGAGAATCAGGAAAAAGTAATTCCCATTTTTATTTGCTCTGCAGGTCTCACCCCCCTTGGCAGGTCAAATCATAAAGTCTTACTAATATTACAGATAAATGAATGGTTTACAAAACCACCAGCAGAATAATTGCTCGTTCAATCTACCCATAGAACTCGAAGCACTTAAACAAAACCCCAAAAAACTCATTTCATAGGTGGCAGAGAAAGGGCACAAGTTGCCCCAAGGCAAGGATAGAGGTTGGACTCAGTCTTGAAGGTCTCTTCCAACCCAAACTGTTCCATGACTCTAAGACACCTCTTGGCTCTGGGGTCACCAAGGCACCAGGTAGGAAGATCAGCTCCATCTCTCCCCAGCTCCCCCAGGACTCAGGTGCCGCTTATCTGCTCAAGTTTCCACGGTCCTTCAACCCCACAGTTCTCCCACATCTCTGCCTGGGATTCTGCCATGGGCACAGTGTGTCTCCAAGACCCTGGAGATCCCATCCTGCCACCTCGCTCCGTGCAGGCAGCACCTGGGGATGCTCGCTCGGGCTGGGGAGCACGTACCTGTCTCTTGACTTCCCACACAGCAGCGGTCCAAAGTGGAAGACACCCGTGTTCATGATGTACTTCTTGAAGATGATGTCCTCATCCGTTTTGCTCCTCCTCCGGTGAGGAAACACCAGCCTGGGCAGAGAAAATGGGGAATGAAGAGCTGTGAGATGTAGAAAATCTGGTTAGAGAGCCACAGCCCTTGGTGGTGGTGGAGGTACCAGTACTGGTTCCCAGCTCCAAGCATGCTGGGCAGCTCAGGCAGCACGTCCTGCCCTGGCCAGAAGGTCTCTGGGGGTTCAAGAGCAGCCCTGGCTCTGCGTTTGAGAGGAGCAGAGCAGGTTTCCACGGACCAGCCTTACCGTGGGTCCTGGCTGATGGTGGGATAGATGGAGGTGCCCCTGCAGTGCAGCTGGTACAGGCGGTTTGTCCCCAGGATCTCAAAATGCAGCGTCTGATCGAACTGGCCCGGCACCGTGGAGCTGAAATGGACCTTCAGCTCCACCTCACCCTTGGCAGGCACTATCCACCGGCAGCTGCTCAGCCTGACAATTAAAGAGCAAACCAGACAAGGATGAGGCTCATGGACTCGCCACCCCATGGAGGCACCGGCAGAGGGTCCCTGTGGAGCTGGGGGTGAAGGACCTGCTTTGGCAAGATGTCCTTGAAGCAGAGGGACCACCTTCTCCCTCGCAGCTCACCTGACGGGTCTCGCCGGGGCTGGGGTTGCATCCCCTTCACTTTGGGGCATCTCGGGGGAACACGTGCGCGCTGCCGTGCCGCGGGGACTTCTCCTGGCCCAGCTGGAGCTCCTCTTCTCCTTCCCAGCCTTCCGGCTGCCCGTGGCTTTCTCCTTCCTCGACTGGCTCCTGGTTGGGGTGACTCGCTCCTCTGAGGTCTTCACACCAAGGGAAGAGACAAAAAGGTGAGAGGAGAGGTGAGACCAGCCCTGAGACATCGCCCTCCTGGAAAAGAAGCTGCGGGTTTGTTAGCAACACAGGAGAGAGAATAAATAAGACAACCACATCTGCCCATAGACTTGGTCTTCCTGACTGGACTTGGTTTTGCCTACAACACCTCTCCCTGTCCAGCACCCTTCTCCTCTCCCAGGATCTTTCTCTCCCAGGAGCCTCCTCCAGCAAAGCTGAGGGGTTTAGGTGATTTTTTCCTTCTTGTCTTACAGAACTGCCCTACGGCTCAAGCAGAGCTGTCTCTTCCAGGCAGACAGAAGGGAAGCCTGCAGACACAAGGGGCCCCATCGTGCCTTTGTGGGATCCTTTCCCATCCCACCCGCTCTCTGTGCCCCCATCCAGCCCAGCCCCTGTCCTGGCACCTTTGCTGAAGGCACAGTGGGGACTTGCAGGAGACTTTCACTATCCTTCTTTTCTTCTTCCGCAGCGGCACCTCCTGGCACAACTAACATGAAGTGCTCGAGCACTTCTGGTGCAGGGGCCGTCCTCTTCTCCGGGTAGCGGATCACGGAGTAAAACGCAGTGGGGGGAATGGGAGGCCCTGAGGGACCCAGTCCCAGGTCATCCAGGATCTAAAGAATAAGAGCAAACTCTGGTTAGACTCCCATCACCTTCCCCCTCACACTTTCCTAAAGGCACTGAGCTTCTGGTCATGGCTTTTTATATTGATTGATACAGAGACAGTGCTTTTTTACGCCCAGTGGGGTGAGCAGGCTCCAGAGCCAGGACCTAGAAGTGGAATCTAGTGAGAAGTCTCTCCTCTGAGGGACTCAGCTCAAGCAAACAACAGCCAGGAGCTTCCCTCCCCTGGGACCATTTGCAACAATTTTCAGACTGGGAAACTGTGTGTGCAGACAGGATGCTTGAACAGAGAGCACTCCCTCTTTCCAGCCATCTGAGGGATGCCGAGAACCTCCCCAGCCACGTGGAGCTGTTCTGAGACATCATCAGTGGCCTGGACAAGGCTCTGTGCCGTTGTCACCCCGTGGGACACAAGGCACCAGGGCCCAGACCTCGGCAGGCTCAGCGGCTGAGCCTCGCAGGGCTTTACCTGCTCTGCCGCCGGCAGGTTGCCGCTCTCCAGGAGCTCCCTTGGCACATCTTCTGAGCTCAGCACCTGGATGTTAAAGCAGGGCACCCCGACATCCTGACCTCTGGCTGGCCCTTCTGCACCTTTCTCTTCCAGTCCAGCTAACTTGGAGTCCTCCAGAGCCTTCAGTTTTTCCAGGACCTCCTTCTCCAGCCTCTCATGACGCTCCTTCTCTCTGTCCTTCCGACTCCTGTGGCCGGATAAATGGTGGCGCTGCCCTTCTGCTGAGTGGTGCACCTCTTCTTGGTTCAGAGGGAGCAGCAGGACACCCCGAACCCTGTCCCAGAATGACAAAACATGCGTGACATCCTTCTGCGATGCCTTGTAGACCTTGAACTTCAGGGCCAAGTTCTTCTCGCTGTCACTTTCATCCTGTTTTTTGGTTTCCTCCTGCTCTGGGTCTGTGGGTTGCCCAGCTGGACTCAGTCTTGCCGGAGACAGAACCTTGCCCTGCATTTTCTTATCTTCCTTGTCCTCAGCAACAGAGTCTTGGCGCTCCTTTGCAGATCCCTTCTTAGCTACCACCTTGGCGATATCCGACCGGCTGCTGATGGATGCGTTCGTGTTCTGGGTAGAAGGAGCAGGAAGAAGCAGTGAGCACTTCAAAGCACTGACTCAAAACACTGGAGGACAATGATGATCTTTACAGTCGCTCCTCCAGCCTTCTGTGCTACGTGCTCTACAAATCCCCGTTCAGAACATAGCTGGTACCCAAGTTTAACAAAACTGAAACCAAACTCCCTAGTGCCAGATGGACGAGGAGTCCTGCAAAGCAGCTGAAAAACAGACCAGCTGCAAACCAGCTGAAAAACAGACCAGCTTCCCAACCTAAAGAGGGAACTTAAGACTCCTCCTTTCTCCTGTGCTGTCTTCTGGGCTTCTTTCTGGTGTGCTGAGCACCCCTGACATTTTGGGAAGCCTGGCTGCTAACAAGTAGCTAATGCCTGGTGGTAACTCTTGTAGGAAAAGACAGCACATCCCTGATGGACCGTGGCTCAGAGGCGTAAGCCACGTGCAGAGTGAGGAGAAAAGCCAGACTAAAACTACCGAGGGCTTCACAGTGAATGCGGGGAGTTACGAGGAGCCATGACTCCAAGGCAGCGTGATCCTCTGCCAACAAGCCCATGGGAAATGCCCACCGGCTGAAGCAGCAGCGTGATCAAACGCCGGCTCCCGTTCCCCAGCACAGCCCCGTGTGCCCCTCACCAGGTTGCCCAGCGCCGCGTGCGGCTGTTGCCTTCTCGGGGAACGGTACAGCTCAGCGCGAAGGTCCCTGGGGGTTACACTGCAAACACAACCACCCACCTGCCTGACCAGAGAATGCCTTTTCTTCGCTGAAGCGTTATCTTTCCCAAGCTCTCTCTTCCCTCGCTTAGACTTCTTCTTCAGCTCTTCTTCCTCCCGCCGGCGCTTTTCCTCCAGCTCTCGAGCCAGCCTCTTCATCTCCCTTCAGCAAGTCAAACAGAAAACAGCTTTGAGTCTCACCACCTGAGCTGGGCTCGCTGCAATCCCAGCTGGTCCTGCCCTTCGGTCGTCGACCCTGAGGCCAGGCAGAACACTTAAACCACCTCCATGGACCTCCCTCAACCGGGGGAGGCTGGGGGCATCCCAAGTGAAGAAAGACGGGAGGGGACCTCCAGGCCCAGTCAAATTTAAGCCTCATCATGAGGTCTCAGATGTGCAGCTTCTCCAACAAGGTCCACCTGGATAACTCCACCACACTGCCGAGGACTGACCCACCACGGCTCCACACGGGCGCCTGAAGCCTTGACTTCCCAGTGTTAGTGACAAATCACTAACACCTCCTTGTCCCTGCACCCACACTTTGCTTACCCATCCCTTCTGCCTGGGCACAGTCCCCTCCTTAATGAGAAGAATCGTATCAATCAGAAAGCAAAGGCAGCAGTAACTCCCCTTCTCTGGCTCTCAACCACCAGATCTCCTGCTCTAAGTCAGCCGTGACCACGGGAACTTGTGCTGCCTGTCCCAGAAATCATGATTTGAAGCAGCCCCAGCAATCTCCTCCAAGAGAAACCAACTTCAGCCTGGCCCAAAAGAAGTTCTGTGTGGCAGGTTTGCTTTAAGCAGGTCCCCCTCCCAGCCTATGCCTCCTCCTGCTTTGCTTACCAGAGCTTCTCCCAGGCTCCCTTGCTGCTGCAGCTGAAAGTGAAGCCTCAGGGACACCAGCTGGTGTCACTCAGTAAGGACCAACCCCAAAAGATCAGGGTTGCGAGGACTTCACCTGCAGCAGGACTGATATCTTAACCGACCCACACCACAACCCCTCTGGTTCGGTGAGGAAGAGGGATGAAGAAGGTGACAATCCACACGATTAACCTGGAAGCGGAGCGGCAAGGCAAGCACAGGGCCAGGGCCTAAGCCAGAGGGCTCACCCCTAAGACAGAGAGATGTTCTCATCTCACCAGAGGAAGGCTGGGAGCCAGGGAGGTGGGACTTGTCATCCTCATGTGGCTTGCAGCAGGCACTTTTGACCGTCACTCTGTCACCCCCCTGAGCTCACCCAAGGTGTCTGGAGCAGGGAAACCCTTCAGGGACACTATCCTGGGGAGTTGCCCGCGGAAGGCTTACAGACCTTTTCTTCCTCTCACGCTGGGCTTCTCGTATATGGTCATTAAACCGAGCTTTCTGCTCGTCAGTGAGGGCCTCATACTCATCCTCATCCATCTCCCAAAGACGTTCTTTCTCCCTCCTGGCAGCTTCTTCCTGCTCCCGTTCTTCAGCACAGACCAGAGAAGAAACCATTAGCGACTGCAGGCAGAGCTTGTTGTTCCACGTGAGCTGCAAAGCTCTGTCCTCACCCAGCCCATCCGCCTGCCAGAAGGTACCGGGGAGCTCATATCCCTACTCCAAAACTCAGATTATCCCCCAAACTAGCACCAGTCAACAAGTTCCTGTGCCTTGCCTGGCTTGTGGACAGCTGGCTGGTGGCTAGTTCTTGAGCCCAAGCTTTCATGTTAAGAGACAAAGTTAAGTCTTACGGCCTCAGCTCTGCTGCGTTTTAATCATCTGTGAGCTGAGTGCTGGATACACGGAGGCAGAAGGTGGAAGAATTAATGAAAACATTTCTTACAAGCTCCGCTGGTAACCCAGATACACATGGATAAGGCTGAGGACTTGAGAGAGAGGATTTGAGAGGTACAGAGAATGAGTCTCACACCTTCCTGCTCTTTTGCAGCTGCCTCCCTGGCTTTCCAAGAAGCATAATCCTGCAACAGGTTCACAAAATAGATATGAGGCCGATTTCTGACAGCTTTGAGCAGGCACAGGAGAGCAGACGCTGCGTTGCGTGCAAAGAGAGTCTCCAGGCCATCAAACACCACACCCTGGTAGCAGTCGCTCAACTGCAAATAGAGTCAAAAAGAAAGCAAAAGGCCGTTACCGCGCGCGTTGGCTCGTCAGTAAACCCAAATGTCAAAGGACACCAGGCACTGCAAGCTCTGATCTTTCCCTGTGCTCTGCCAACTAAGGGCAGCTGCAGCTTCACCCAAGAAGATCCAAGAGCAGATCCAGACCTCCTCCTCTCTGACCAGTACTCGCTGCCCGTCTCTCTGCAGCAGGAACGTATCGTTTGCCCCCAACCCCAGGTACCTGCAGCCTTTCGGAGAGGATGGCCACCAGCAAGTCGTCGGGCAGCACGCAGCTCAGGAAACCCACGTCTCCCACCGTGCTGACGCTGATGTTCAGCCGCTGCGGCACGGGGATGCAGGGAGGAGGGCAGGCGGGATGAGAATGGGACGAGTCCTGCAACAGTGAACACCAAGGGAAAAATAAACCACCCTCGGGAAAATCCCGAACAATTCCAACCACTGGGCTTGGAGCTGGGGTCTCTCACTGGGAAGAGACTGGAACCAAACTGCAGGTCCGCAGCTCCAGAGAACAACCCTGGAGGGCACAGCTCTTGGCCAGCAGTGGGTCAAGTTTGCAAGCTTCCCCAAGATAGCATCCTGCAGGTTTGGCTATTACAGAATCATAGAGAATCACAGAATGTCAG